CAGCCCCCCGGTTATCTCCCAGCTCCTCCCAGCCCATCCCAGCCCCCCGGTTATCTCCCAGCCCCTCCCAGCCCCTCCCAGCCCCTCCCAGCCCCCCGGTTATCTCCCAGCTCCTCCCAGCCCCCCGGTATCTCCCAGCCCCTCCCAGCCCCCCGGTATTTCCCAGCCCCTCCCAGCCCCCAGGTATCTCCCAGCCCCTCCCAGCCCCCCGGTATCTCCCAGCCCCTCCCAGCCCCCCGGTATCTCCCAGCCCCCCCCCCGGTTCCTTGCCAGTAACCACTACCACCACCACTGTCTTGCATGAATAATTTCTATGGAATAAAAATATCAAAAAAAACCTCCCAAACTGATTTTTATTTCACCAGGCAATGCCTCCCGAGCTCTCTAAACACACGCACACACACACACGTGCAAACGGCTCGCTTTGGAGCAGCGATCTGGGCTATCGGAAGTGAACTACCCTCGCCTGGTACACACGAGGCTGTGGGTTCGATCCCGACCCTGACGACGCCTGCTGATGCATGATTTAGAGGCCGACCGAAACTGAATTTCTGGTTTCGGCCGAAACCGGAAATTTACTTTCGGGCCGAAACCAGAACTCTGCCGGAGAGAGGCCATTTGTCAACTTTCGGCGCCCAAACCGAATTTCGGTCGGCCTCTCGCATAATTGAAGTCTGCGTCTCTCATCATCGCGGTGGCTAGGAGATGTTGACTACCTCGCCTGGTATACAGGAGACCGTGGGTTCGATCCCAACCCCGGCGACGCCTGCTGCTGCAGATTTTGAGTTTGCGATCGGAAGGGCTTTCGTTAGGCGTGGGTGGTGAAAAAACTCGGGGGTTTAGTCCCTTCGCTTCCGCAGTGCGAAACACGCCCACACCACCGCCACCACCACCACCACCACAGAAGATCCCTCGTGCAGCCTGAACAGACTGTTTGGGGCAAGTGCTGTTATGGCGAGGTGGTGGGTGGCCAGCACCGCACCCCATGCCGCCCTTGCCGGTCCAGCCGGACCTCCTGAATGCCGCAGAGACCCAGGGCGGTACCGGTGCAGCCCCCCCCGACAAGAGCTGCGGGGCAGCCTCTCCTCTGCGGCAGCGAGCGTTCGAACATTCCACGTGGCCGACCGGCAGTGGCTTTTGGCCGTGTCTGGAGGAACCCCCCCCCCCCTCCCTCCCTCCGAGGGTAAGGATTCAATTCTTCTGGCCACCATACTCTTTGGCTCTTTCGGTAAAGTCACGTGGGTCGAAGAAAACAATACATCACGACGTTGCGATGGATTCCTGCAGTCACGAAAGCTTCGAGTCAAGATCGATCTCCTAGCTCTGCCAAATTTGGGGGTTTGGCCAGGGGACGTCATGGACGCCTGTGCCCCCCGGGGGACTCCGGCACAAGCCGAGTGTTGATATATTTTTGTTTACGTGGTTTTGCGGTAATTTACTCGAAGGTGGGAGTGGTTACCAGCCCCTCGCACACGTACAGAGCCCCCTTTTTTTCCGCTGCGGTGGCTACAAACGCCATGAGGGGAATGGCCAATCTCAGTTGGCCCTCCCACCCCCCCCCCCCCCATGGCACTGCTCACCACAGCGTTGCCACCACAACCACCTCCACCACCATCACCTCCACCACCACCACAACCTCCATCACCACCATCACCACCACTACAACCTCCATCACTTCTAGATTTTAAAAAAAACTTCCATCACCTCCACCACCACAACCTCCACCACCACAAACTCCATCATCTCCTCCATCACCACCATCATCTCCACCACCACAACCTCCATCACCACCATCACCTCCACCACCATCACCTCCAACACCTCCATCACCATCACCTCCAACAGCACCACCACCAACAGCAGCACCACCACCAACAGCAGCACCATCACCACCAAACAGCCCCCGTATAGCCCTAACAAACTTTAGGGGCAAGTGCTGTTAGCGAGCAGCGCCTATGAAGGCCGGCACGGCACACGAGGGGGTGGGTGGCCAGCACCACGCCCGGCCGCCTTTGTCTCCCCCAGTAACGATGTTTACTACGACACACCGCACCAGGTAACTCATTTGAGGCCGAGTCGACCTAGGGGAAGGCCCAGGACCGGTTCACTGGTGTTGGCCGTGAGCGGGGTTGGAGGTGCTACGTCTACAGCTCCTCCACAACCCCTTTGAGGATTTATTTATTTATTTCACGTGACCACCCCCCTACCAGGGCTGAACGATTTGGTGAAAATACCCAATAGCGATTTTCCCGACATTTCGATTTGATTTGCGATTACATTTTTTGAAAGCAAAGCTTCAGTTCAATATTCACTGCGTAATAGATTTAAAACGTGCGATGGGAGCATTACCAACCTGATTCCATCGCAATGTGAACTGCTCTTTATATTCCAACGTAAGGACGAGGGCGTGAAAGATACTAATTGCTTCCAAACGTGCATTTATTAAAATGTATTAACCGAACGTAGGACAATTTGTTCCAAGTTAAGTAACGTTAAATTTTGATTTAAAGCTTTCGCGACTGCAGTCATTCATGTTCTTAGCTCTTTCGGTAAAGTCACCACGTTGAAGGGAAACAATAAAATACAAAAAAAATACATGTAAAACAATAAACAAAAATTCTCACGACGTTTCGACCGTAACGCAAACGGTCGTCATCAGGTGTGAAAAAAACCAACGGCAAGAAGCATTTGAAAGAAGTGGCGGTTTGCGTTTATTTAATTAGTTGTAAACGCAGCATTTATTTATTTATTAAAAACCGTTAGCGCCACGGGCAGCGATTTGTCAGTTTGTTTAGAAGGACGAGTCCATCTATGTTCTGAAAAGAGGAGGGGGGGAGACGAAAATTTAATGCACGCTGTCCGAAAGCCACCGTAGGCGCGAACAATCAATTAAGACCCGAAATGGTTGATCAAATCCTTCCAATGATTGCCAAGCCAGAATCCATCTTCTCGGTTGAGATTGATCTCTGTGCTTGCATATGCGGATAGCCTCATGAACGAATCTCTCACGACGTTATAACAATTCAAAATAAAGCAATACCAAGAAGCAAGTAACGGGACTTTTCAAATCGAAAAAAATAAATCGCAGCCTTTGCGATGTGCCATTCGCATCATTTCAAATGTCGATCGATCGATTTGAAATCGATTCGAAATCGATTGATCGTTCAGCCCTACCCTCCCCCCCCCCCGCGCACACAAAAAAACCACCGAGTATGACGCATTTTGAAAGGTTAAAGTAAATAATTGTATTTGGTGCTCACAAAAAAGAATGTAATGGACAATCGGGTGCGTGCTTTTAAAAACGCCCCTTCTGACAAAATGATAGCCCCAGAGAAGTTGCTGCGTTACCAGAAGGACGCTCCCCCCCCCAACGGACACCCGGGACGCTCCTCTTTGCGCGCAGAAAGACAGCGGCTGAATTCATCGCACGCGGGAAACTCCCGACAACAAAAATGTATTAATGACGTTGCAAGCATTGTCTTTGAAACCAACTGGCCTAGAGCCTTGGCTTCATGGCCCGGTCCACATTAGCAGTGTCACATCCATCAGAGAACTCTACAAGGCGAACAGGACAATGACCGAGCAACCAACGGATCGCTTAAAAACGATTTGGGTCCTTTGGTAAAGTCGCGTAGATAGAAGCATAATATAACAAAAATATTTTTTATTCGTACTATTTGCGTCTTTCGGTAAGGTATATTAAAATAATATAATTTTTTGTTATTCTTCTATTCGAAACTATATCTTTTAACGAAAGACCCAAATAGTATGAATAGGAAAATAATATTATTTTAATATTATAAATTAATTTTAATTTTATACTTTAACGAAGGACCCAAACAGTATGAATAATAAAATAACATTATTTTAATATTATAAAGTAATATTACTTATAATATTATACTTTAACTAAAGACCCAAACAGAATGAATAGGAAAATAATATTATTTTAATATTATAAATTAATTTCAATTTTAATATTATACTTTAACGATGGACCCAAACAGTATGAATAGGAAAATAATATTATTTTAATATTATAAAGTAATATTACTTATAATATTATACTTTAACTAAAGACCCAAACAGAATGAATAGGAAAATAATATTATTTTAATATTATAAATTAATATTACTTTTAATATTATACTTTAACGATGGACCCAAACAGTATTAATAGGAAAATAATATTATTTTAATATTATAAAATAATATTACTTTTAATATTATACTTTAACGATGGACCCAAACAGTATTAATAGGAAAATAATATTATTTCAATATTATAAATTAATTTTAATATTATACTTTAACGATGGACCCAAACAGTATGAATAGGAAAATAATATTATTTTAATATTATAAATTAATATTACTTTTAATATTATACTTTAACGATGGACCCAAACAGTATTAATAGGAAAATAATATTATTTTAATATTATAAATTAATTTTAATATTATACTTTAACGATGGACCCAAACAGTATGAATAGGAAAATAATATTATTTTAATATTATAAATTTTAATATTATACTATAACGAAAGACCCAAATAGTATGAATAGGAAAATAATATAATTTTAATAGTATAAATTAATTTTACTTTTAATATACTTTAACGAAGGACCAAAATAGTATGAATAGGAAAATAATATTATTTTAATATTATAAATTAATTTTACTTTTAATATTATACTTTAACGATGGACCCAAACAGTATGAATAGGAAAATAATATTATTTTAATATTATAAATTAATTTTAATTTTAATATTATACTTTAACGATGGACCCAAACAGTATGAATAGGAAAATAATATTATTTTAATATTATAAAGTAATATTACTTTTAATATTATACTTTAACGAAAGACCCAAATAGTATGAATAGGAAAATAATATTAGTTTAATATTATAAAGTAATATTATTTATAATATTATACTTTAACGATGGACCCAAACAGTATGAATAGGAAGATAATATTATTTTAATATTATAAATTAATTTTAATTTTAATATTATACTTTAACGAAAGACCCTAATAGTATGAACAGGAAAATAACATTATTTTAATATCATAAAAGTAATATTATTAATCCTTTCAGGTTAAACTCACGTAAACGCCCGAGAATATTAATTCCCTAGCAATTGCCAAAGGCTTTGAGTCAAGAGATCACCTCCGACAACTCAGGGCTGAGCAGCATCAGCAGCAGCTGCTGTTGCTGTATCGTAGGACGTGCGTTTTGAGCGCCAGCTATTAAACTTGTGACGCATTTGAAAAAGATGCCTCGCGCGTGTTTTACCGTTTCCGGCAATAACACACGGACATTTAAATCTCGACTTGAAGCTCTCGTGGACTGCAGGGATTCACACACAATCTGCGTGCCTTTTGGCAAAGTCAAAATAATAATAATAATGTTTTTCTATCGGTTCGCTCGCTCGCTCTGTGGAACAAATGCTGAATCAAAACCGCCACTGCCTCCCCACACCACTGCCCCCCACCACCACTGCCCCCCCCCCCCACCACTGCCCCCCACACCACTGCCCCCCCCAACCGCTACTTCTATCGACGCGACTTTACCCAAAGACGCACGTAATATAAGACAGGGGGTGTGTATTAAGATGTTTAAACACCACGTGGGGTAATGACTGTAGCCTTTTGCCACAGGAATCAAGTAACCGCATGAAGCACACACGCACGCACGACTAGCAGCGGGTGCTCATACAAACTTCTGGTAAAGTTAATACTGTTATGTGCATCGGCCAGTCTCACCACCAGTGTCTAGTGGGTGGAGTTTGTGTGATCTCCCCCTGTCCTACACAGCGAGTGAGTGGAGTTTGTGTGATCTCTCCCCCTGTTCTACAGAGCGAGTGGAGTTTGTGTGATCTCCCCCTGTTCTACAGAGTGAGTGAGTGGAGTTTGTGTGATCTCCCCCTGTCCTACACAGCGAGTGAGTGGAGTTTGTGTGATCTCCCCTTGTCCTACAGAGTGAGTGAGTGGAGTTTGTGTGATCTCCCCCTGTCCTACACAGCGAGTGAGTGGAGTTTGTATGATCTCTCCCCCTGTTCTACAGAGCGAGTGAGTGGAGTTTGTGTGATCTCCCCTTGTTCTGCAGAGTGAGTGAGTGGAGTTTGTGCGATCTCCCCTTGTCCGACACAGCGAGTGAGTAGAGTTTGTATGATCTCCCCCTGTTCTGCAGAGTGAGTGGAGTTTGTGTGATCTCCCCCTGTCCTACACAGCGAGTGAGTGGAGTTTGTGTGATCTCCCCTTGTCCGACACAGCGAGTGAGTGGAGTTTGTGTGATCTCCCCCTGTATCTACAGAGTGAGTGAGTGGAGTTTGTATGATCTCCCCCTGTTCTGCAGAGTGAGTGAGTGGAGTTTGTGTGATCTCCCCCTGCTCTACAGAGTGAGTGAGTGGAGTTTGTGTGATCTCCCCCTGTCCTACACAGCGAGTGAGTGGAGTTTGTGTGATCTCCCCCTGTCCGACACAGCGAGTGAGTAGAGTTTGTGTGATCTCCCCCTGCTCTACAGAATGAGTGTGTGGAGTTTGTGTGATCTCCCCTTGTTCTGCAGAGCGAGTGAGTGGAGTTTGTGCGATCTCCCCCTGTCCTACACAGCGAGTGAGTAGAGTTTGTGTGATCTCCCCCTGCTCTACAGAATGAGTGTGTGGAGTTTGTGTGATCTCCCCCTGTTCTGCAGAGTGAGTGGAGTTTGTGTGATCTCTCCCTGTTCTACAGAGTGAGTGAGTGGAGTTTGTGTGATCTCCCCCTGCTCTACAGAGTGAGTGAGTGGAGTTTGTGTGATCTTCCCTTGTCCTACACAGCGAGTGGAGTTTGTGTGATCTCCCCTTGTTCTGCAGAGCGAGTGAGTGGAGTTTGTGTGATCTCCCCCTGCTCTACAAACTCCACTCACTCTCTCTCGCTCTCCACAACCAGGGGGGGTAAGAACACGAAAATCTCCGTTCGCTCGCCCGCCCGCCCGCCCGCCCGCCCGCCCGCTCGCTCCCGAGCGCAGGACTCGAACCCAGGCCGCTTGTGTCCGTGGCTAGCGCCGCCAGACCCTACCCCCTCCGCTGCGACCTCCTGGGGGTGGGACAGGGTGAGGGGGTGCTAGCGGCGCGGTGTGCCGGGGGGGGGGGGGGTGGTGGTGGTGATGGGGGGTGCAGCCCTCAGTAGCGAAACTGAGAACCCCCACCGGCCATTGGCCGGCGCATGGACGGGGCGCCAAAGTCGCTGCCCGACCCGGGCTGGTGGCCCAGGAGGCCTCCTCCGTGACCTCCTCCGTGACCTCCTCCGTGACCTCCTCCGTGACCTCCTCCGTGACCTCCTCCTCCGTGACCTCGTCCTCCGTGGCCTCCCATGGACAGACCCAGCCCGGCACGGCCTCCTCCGTCGGTGCCGCCACCGCCGCTGTGTCCGTCCAGGGAGTAGCGCAGCACCGACGATGAGGGGGACGACGATGAGGGGTGCTGGTGATGGTGTTTGGAGGCAGCGGG